CATGGTATTTGGTCTAGGTACATACCCAGACTCTCCTTTCCTTAGGAATTCAAAATGTGCCTAATGGTTCTCTGAATCATTAGCTGAAACGAACATGATATTCCTTTCACTTAAGGGTGGCTGTGCCAAACATTCAGAGGGACAACACAGCCACTCCACTCCACAGCCACTCCACAGTTTCCCATTTATTTCACAGGAAACAGGCTCCATATTTTCTCTGAAGTAAAGAGGGGACAAAAAACGGAAACCAGAAAAGTTGTGCCCAAATTGAGCATGTCATCTCCCATTTACTATGGGGCCTTCTCTTACTATTCTAACAGGGGGAAATCCCTGTGTGGCAGCAGCCTTTGGATGCTGCACAGTTCCCTTGTCCAGCCATTCTTTGAGTTTTCCTGGTCATAATCCTTCCCCAGTTCATATCTTTCCCCCTGATTCATACCCCACAATCTCTAGCAGCTTGTTCCTCCACTGCAACATGATCATCCCTCTATTACTCTCAATGTAAAGCCCTCTGGACAGGGATTCTGTACAACATCTAGCACATTGTTAGCTCTACAGGAATGTTAAAGAATAAGGGGCAAAGTACCTAGGATGTTAAGGGTGCTGATTGGACGGGGGGTGGGGGAGAGGGGATGTTTTGTCCCCTTAATAGAAGTTTAATAAGTGGAAAAGGACAGGTGAATATTTCATGCCATGGTGGTAAATAGCATCACCTAGGGTTGTCAAGTAAAAAAACCTCACCGGCGGGGGAGCCTCGCCGGGCTCCGGGAGCCGTCCCTGGATGCGCGCACCGCCAGCACGTCACCAGAAGTGATGCGCAACGTCGACCACGTTGAGGGCGTGGCCCTGATCGTCGGAGGGAAAACCATAGAGTTTTCCCTCCGACGATCCGGGCCACGCCCCCAACGTGATTGACGTGGCTGCATCACCTGGTGACGCAGCCATGCTGCGCTTCGGGGAGCGGAGTTCCCCCTGGGGCCCGATTCCGCAGCGGTGGAAAATCGGGCCTCCAAAGCAGGGGTTTACCCGCCACCTGCCCCCACTTGGCAGCCCTAGCATCACCTGATAATTGATTGTAGATCAAACAGAAATTAGAGAGACCAGTTTATAGGTTGGCAGTCCTATGTGATGATAGTAGACTAGGTTTTCCAACCTCCAGGTGGTGCCTAGAGATCTCCTGGGATTACAACTGATCTCCAGGTGACAGAGATCATTTCACCTGGAGAAAATGGCTGCTTTGGAAGTGGACTCTATGGCATTGTACCCCACTGAAGTCCCTCCTCTCCACAAACCCTGCTGTCCTCAGGCCCCACCCCCCAAAATCTCCAGGAATTTCCCTACCTGGAGCTGGCAACCCTATAATGCAGACCTTCTCTAGTAATATATGGGGGGATACATGTACAATTTCAAGGGCTTGCAAGATGAGTCATTTTCTCAGAATTGCCTACTTGAATGTTTGGCATTCTTTTCCGCCCATTACCCTCAAGAAAAATATTTAAAACTCATTTTTTCCCTGCCATGTGTTATCAGTAAAGGGGTCAGTTGTTCTGCGATGTTTCAGTCCCCACTTTGCCATTTGTAAACATTTTAAAAGGGGTATTGGCATAGTGAAGCGGGATTTCATAGCCATCATTTTGGAAAGCAGGTACTTGCAGCAGAACAATCAGCAGTGTTAGTTTTAACACCTATGTGAGGATTGTGGCTATCATGTGGAGGCAATCTGAACATGAGTTGCTGCTGCCCTTCATGGAAGTCATGTGATCCATGTCATGTGATCCAGGGGAAGCATGGCAGATGTTGCCAGTTGGAAAGGGGGACAGATGTCTTGTCCCTTTGACCAGCAGTTGCATGTACAGACGCAGGCAGTTTAAACTCTTCATGGCATGCAGCTCAATAACACTCACCTTGCAGATCAAATGGACATTAGAGGGGCAGCCAGCACGACCCGTTTAAAAGTCAGCAGCCCTAAGCATGGCAATATTTGTGCTTCTATCCGAGGCTCCCTTTCCATATACGAAGAGTTGTACATAACCATTACTGATTTGCAACAATATGCTTTGAACATGGAGTTTGAGGGGTCTTGAACAAGCAATCCTCTACAGGGCAGAATTTAGAAACTCTTTTTTTGTAGACCATGAAAACCCACTTCTACCCCAGATATGAGACAGTTCTTCTGCAGCACATTCTGTAATTTAGACAAGGGTTAGATGGAAGCAGGAACTGAATCTTTTTTCTTTTTTCAAATGATCAATTTCAGCAAATTGGGTAACTGAACAAATTGCTGATTAGGGTTGCCAGCCGGACAGACTTCCACTGGCCCCAATGCAACAGTGCTTCCCCCACCTCCAAATGAAGCCTTCCACTGGCCCCAATGCAACAGTGCTTCATCTGGTTTACCACAATTACAGTCTGCTCTAACTGTCAAGAAGTTCTTCTTAAGCAGTCTGAAAAAAGCCAACAAACCATTCTGCCAGACTCCACCCATGGTGTTTCAGTTTCCAAACCGGATCTGCTCTGCTCCTGACCCACTAGGTTCTACTTTCCCTGGCTCCTTTCAGCCTCTCCCAGATAGGTAGCACTTTCTGAAACCTAAAGTTGGCAAACCTAAAATTGCATAATTGTTAACATATCCCATGAGCCAGTATTGTGCAAATGTATGAAAGCTATTCATACCTTCCTCTCCATTTGTCCTGAGAACTTTAGCTCTTATTTAAAAATTATTTTTTTAAAAAAATTAACGTAGCCCTGCCTGTTTACTTAGGAATTAAGTGTCTGTATGGGAACAGAAGTAGCCAACTCTGCTTGGAAGCCTTTTGCAAACCTCAGCCTTTGTTCTTTGCCACTGGGGGACACAGGGAGAGGGGAGCAGTACAAAGGAGTCTGGTAACGCTTCATATTGAAATACTTTCAAACTTTCCAAAAAAATTTAAACTTTCAATGAACTGATACATGAAAAGAGGAAATACAGCAGCCTGCTCCTTCCCTTTCTGAGACGGGTGGAAATAGCTCCACGTAAGCCAGTGAAGAAGGGCACAGGCGGAAGAAGTAGAGGAGGCCAAATAAACACTGGAGGCATTCTGGCTTCAGACTCCTTCAGGTTAGATCTTGCCTGCACCCAAACCACACAAGTATGTGTGGTTTTTACTCACTGGGATTACGATCCTTTTGAAAGTTACTGAGCTGAGGCTGCTTTTAGAACTGCCAAGGCGCCCTCCTTCTGTATCTTAACAACATCAGTCATCCAGTAAGTATCTGCCAGAGGTCAGGACCTGCAGCGTGTTATTTTAAAAAAAAGACGTTAAAATATGATTTATGAGGATAGAAAACAAAAGGGCAGGCGAGGAAAAGAGCAGCTTGCTGCTGCGCAAACCCAGCCCGCTCTGCTCAGAATCTGGCAGGGGTCCTAAAAGCAGAAAATAAAGGACAGCGGGAGTATGGGCCTTGTGGACAAAGTCTGCATGTTTACCTGGGGAGTAGAGCAGAAAAGGTTAGAAAGGATTCAGTAGGGAGGCTGATTAAATGGATGACAGCGAGGCACGCACCCCTGCCACAGGAGATGTATTAGTAAATGCTCCTTCAAGTTCAAGGTACCCACCCACATGTGACTTACTGCTATGCCTTGTTTCAGTCATCCTCTGTGGTAGATAAATTACTTCTGCCATATTCTGTATCAGGTTGTTTTGGATCATTCAGTCATGCCTGACGCATGCAGAAATAGCAGAGAGTGAGACACAGTGAGATTCCCAGAGGAGGTTGTAATGTTACATCTCTTCGGGAGTCACTGTTCCAACTGCGCCATCTCCTAATCAGAAGACATGCCCAACGTGACTTATCCAGAGACAGGCTCCTCTGTGGATGTAAACCTTTTAGGATATAATTAAGTGTGCCTAAAACTTTAACTGAGAGAGAAAGCATGCCTCAGCTATAAGAAGTTTGAGAACACATTTAGCCTGGAGAGGAGATGACTGAGAGGTGATATGATAACCATCTTCAAGTACTTGAAGGGCTGTCATATAGAGTATGGTGCGGAGTTGTTTTCTTTTGCCCCAGAAGGTTTGACCAGAATGGGTTGAACATAATCAAAAGAGTTTTCAGCTAAACATTAAGAAGAACTTCTTGACAGTTAGAGCAGTTCCTCAGTGGAACAGGCTTCATTTGGAGGTGGGGGGGCTGTCCTTCTTTGGAGGTTTTTAAACAGAGGCTAGATGGCCATCTGACAGCTATGCTGATTCTGTGAACTTGGGTAGATCATGAGAGGGAGGGCATGACAGATTGCATCAGTGCTTAGTTCTCGTGGCCCTAGTTCTTGTGGCCCAGGAAATGCTGATCACCACTTTGGGGTCAGGCAGAAATTTTTCTCCAGGCCAGCTTGGCCAGTGATCCTGGAAGTTTTTTGCCATCTTCTGGGCATGGAGCAGGGGTCATTGGGGGGGGGTTTGTGTGTGGGGAGTATTTGTGAATTTCCTGCATTGTCCAGGGGGTTGGACTAGATGACCCCGGAGGTCCCTTCCAACTCTATGATTCTAAGTCATAGGAGGTTGAACGAACTGGGTTATGTTGAGCTTAGAGAAATATGAGAAGACACAACAGATATTTTCCAACACTTGGATTGTACCCCAGAATCCTTTAAGAACAAAGGAAAAGATGAGAACTAGCATTAATAAGAAGGGAATACCAAAATGACCATTAACCAACTGACAGATGTTCCCACCCCCTCAGAATGTTACCTCATAATTGTGCTGCGTGTTTAACTGTTCCTCAGTGGTAGCATAGGGGGTGAGGTAAAGTGGACTGTCTGCTCCCATAAGAACCTGTCATCGCCTGAAATCTGTGTCCTGGAGTACTGGAATAAAGTACATTTTGGAAAATTTCTGTTTTCTGGTTCATTCTGTTATTATCCAAATACAGCCCAGCTACCAGTACTTAGATGATCATGATAATTACTATAATCTTGGCTTGTTTGTGGCAACTCAAACCCAGGCTTCTTCCCACTTTTCTAGGAACTTGAGGAGGCAATGTCACAAATCAAGGACATCTCCATTGTCCTGGGGATTGACAACAACAGAATCAATATCGACCCTCACAGGATTGTGGAGGATGTAAGGGCCCAGTATGAAGCCCTGGCTCGCAAGAGCTGGGAAGAGCTAGAGCAACTCACGAGAAGCAAGGTACGTATCTACTTGCCCCTCAGGAGAGTTGTCACAAAGCTTTCCTTACAAACAAGTCCTGCAGAGTGATATGGAAAAGAGGTAAAACATCATGGCAGTTATTGACAGGGAACACTGGAGGGTTACAAATAGTTTCTTTTTAAAAAATTATGTCTTCTTCCCTCAGAATTCTGAACTGTTCTGGGAATCTGCGCAAGGGGAGCTCACTGGGTACTTTATAAATTGGCCCAAAATTTGGGGAGATGTTGTGAAATCTAACCAGTAGGTATGAGATCAAAACAACTGACAGGACGCAATAATGTAGTAATATACTGAAATGAGTGGACTGCATCCAGTGAGCAAACTTTGTAGCATTTCTCCACCTTTAATGGCTCTTCCAAGGAAGAAACTGGCGAAAGGATGTCTGACATACATGTTCAGGCTCTGGCTCAACTTTCTGAGAAAAATCATGACTCATAAGGTGTTAATCGGGTCAATATTGTGCAAACCTACCAACTGTGAGAGCCCATTCAATGAGTTAAAGCAATGAGACAGCCTTTCAGAATCACTATTACCCCGAACAAGGTATCTGTCTTACCCTCTGAGAAGTGGGAAGGGGGCAATGAGTACAATTACAGTTGCATTTTTTTTCTTGGAGATGTATTGGGGTGGGTACACTGTTTGATTTATCTCCCCTGTTGCTAACAGAAGTGTTAATGTACTGTTAAATATTCCCTCTAGCTGTATGAAGGAGAGTTGCAGTCTGCTAAGTATGGGGATCATCTCCTTAATGACCGAAGAATAATCGCTGAGCTGAATATACAAATCCAGAAAATGAGATCTTGCATCTTATCACTGAAAAGCCAGGTAAAATGTGGTTGGTGTAAGACTGGAAAATGAGTATGAGAAAGGCAAAAGGAAATGCATTCAGCCAAGATTTGGCAAATATGCTGTACTGTCCGCATTGCAAAATAGATATATACCAAATGCAAGTGCATTCCCTTTACTGCTTCTTGGAATATTGTGAATTTTTAGAGATTTGTCCTAGTACTTTAGTATATGAATGCCCATCTCACAAAGCATGTTAACTTGGACAGACAACAACAACAAAAAAGGGTATCCACATCCATAGGTCTAGTCAATCAAAATAAATGTTGCATAGGAACATATGAACAATACAAGTGAATTATGGCAGATGCAAACGGGTGTGTTGTTTAGGGGCCACTGCTTGATGTCAAAGCACATGCTTTACATTCAGAAAGTTTTAGGCTGATTTTCTGGAACCCCCTATTAAAAAGAACTTGGGCAACAGGGCTGGAAATGATTCTGTCTTAGAGACAGGCCCATACCCAGGACTTTGTGGCTTGTGGGGCAAAATGTTCGCTGGTGGGGCTGCCATTATTTGCCATAATGAAGGGGGGGTGGGCACAGACCCCTCTCCCTCTCTCCTGCAGTATTTAAAGGGCCGCCCAGCTGATCGGTGGGCCATATGCTCCCCGCTGATCAGCTGAAGGGCCCTTTAAATCTTGCAGGAGGTGAGGGAGAGGGGTGCATGCCACCTGCTGCTGCTTCTTAAAAGGATTTAAAGGATCCCTTTAAATGCTTTTGGGAAGAAGGGGGGCATTAAGGAAGGGGGCAGAGCCCCCAATAGTCCCACTGTAGCTACGAGCCATCTTAGAGAGCTGCTTTGAAATGGCAGGGCCATTCCTAGGAGGATGGGGCATCTGGGACAAGTTTTCCCCCCACCCAGTCTTAAGAGATTTATACATGACACACAGTCAGCCATGAGCCAGCACCACTGCTGACTTGGCCAGCAGGCCTCACACAGATCTCGGTAGTAACTGGAGGCTGAAAGTTCCAAACCACCATTGATCATCTGGCCAGTGGAGTCTTTGTTTGGCTTGCAGCTCAAAGCTCACGAAGAGCAGCTGCTTCTTTGGGGAAGCATGGGGTTTCCCAAAGCGTGGGGTCCAGGGCATTCCCCAGTTCTCTGTAGGCTAAAGACAGCTCTGCCAGTGGGCCAGACAGGTGTCCTGAGGTCCAGGATATTGTTGGAAGATGGGATGCTTGTGGAAGCTAAACAGGCTCTGGGCCAGTTAGTGCCTGGGTTAGAGACCTCCTGAGAAGTGAGTGTACGCTGTCTTGAGGTCCGTGATGGAATAAAGGGGGGAGGCAATAAATTTTGTAATGACAATGGTAATGATAAGATTATGAGAGGAATAGTGAAACATATGTTCCATAGTGAGGTGGTTCTTTTACAATGAAAAACTAAAGTGAGTGTGAATCTATGCTATAAATTTGTATCAGTTTTATACCAGTTTAGTTCACCAAATAAATCATATTTTGATAAGGGCCCCACTGCTGGACCTCCTGATGGCACCTGGTATTTTTGGCCACTGTGTGATGCAATGTTGGACTGGATGGGCCGTTGGCCTGATCCAACATTGGCTTCTCTTATGTTCTTAAGGGTGCTAAGAACTCTGTTACTAAGAACTCTCATATAGAACTACAGTTCCCAGGGATCCTTGAGGGGAAAGGAGAGACTATTAAACCAATTTAAATGTAGATCTATCCTGACAAAAAAAAAGTTCTGGTGCATCTGTCCCTTTTCTAGCCACAGCAGTCCTCACATAGATGTAATTGTATAGTTCTGTAGATCCTTGGCTCAGATTCATAAAAACATAACATAAGAACATAAGAGACGCCAATGTTGGATCAGGCCAAAGGCCCATCTAGTCCAACACTCTGTCACACAGTGGCCAAAAATACCAGGTGCCATCAGGAGGTCCACCAGTGGGGCCAGGACATTAGAAGCCCTCCCACTGTTGGCCCCCCCAAGCACCAAGAAGACAGAGCATCACTTGCCCCAGAGCCCCTATCTATACCTTGTGGCTAATAGCCACTGATGGACCTCTGCTCCATATGCCTATCTAATTCCCTTTTGAAGCCGTCCATGCTTGTAGCCGCCGCCACTTCCTGTGGCAGTGATTCATATTATCTTGAACAATATGAACAATACCAAATAGCTCCCTGAACAATCCTCTTCCAGTCAATACATTTTCCCTCCTCAGTTCAGTGAGGTATTGTATTACAAAGTATGTAGTGAGTTTGATGCTGGTGAAATGGAATGGCTTTCCCAGAGCTTGAGATGATTTTATTTAGAAGGCAATTGCAAAGACGTGTGCCAATGCTGGCTATTGTACACTCTTAATATTTCAGTGGCACTGACCTGCTTATGCTCAGACATCTTTGGCCCATTATTTGAGTCAAACAGGAATCAGCAAAGAAGAGCAGAGGGTAGGAAACTGCCAAAGCACTTATTGCCAGCCCTCAATCATCTTTGTAATTTGTTTTCTCACTCCAGTGTCTTCGTCTGGAAGGGAACATCACAGAAGTTGGAGCACAGGGTGAAGCTGCTCTTAAGGATGCCAGAGCCAAACTAGCTAACTTGGAGGAAGCCCTTCAGAACCTCAGGCAGGATTTGGCTCACCTCCTTAAGGAGTATCAAGAGCTGATGAATGTTAAGCTGGCCTTAGACATAGAGATTCTTACCTACAGAGAGTTGATGGAAGGGGAAGAGATCAGGTGAGTGATCAGGACTGAACATAGGTGCAAACTAAAAGGAGGGCAGAACCAAAATGAATTTAGTCCCAAAAACTCTTTTCAAAATTCTCTGTGAATTTCGAGGATGGATGTTCTCTAGATATTCTTTGAATGTTCATGTGGCATTTGATGACATTCTTTGGTGTTCGTTGAAATCAAAACATGGAAAGGATGCCAACTGCTCTTAAAAATCCTCAGGTTTTAGATTCTGAGGAAAATTCTACAAGCAACATGCAGATCTGAATTCTAAATACAAAACCACACTTGAAAGCTAGATTTGAAATTTTGGCACAAAATTGAACATTTATGAATATTATTTTCCACTGTCGCAAAGACCAAGTCCTTATCTAAATGTCAGAACATATACATGTATTCCTTTGACTTATTAGTTCATTGTTAAAAATATCTGATAGAATTTTAATTAGGGATGCCAAAAATTCTGCAGCAAACATATCTACAGTCAGACTTACTGTGCTCCACTGTGGCAGTCTGACCTGAGCTGATCCCCACGTCTGTTCAATTCAGCACCAAATGACTGAAAAGCCTGCCTCACAAACACCCTCACTGCATGCAGAATATTATGTGTAGGCTTGACATGTACATGCCTAGAGCTGTATACGTGTTCAAGGTGGGATAAAGGTTCAGGCAACTCAAGGCACATCGGATGAAGTGAGCTCTGACTCACAAACGCTTATTCTGGAATAAATGTTGTTAAATTTTACTGGTAAGATTTCTATGAGAATGGGTTCACCAAGTGTGGACCCCAAACACGACCCTGTGAATCCTGTGTTATTTGTGTGTTCCTCTTGTGCATGAATCTGCTCCAGTTGGGATCTTGGCAGCACGGAGAAGAAGTTGTTTCCTTCCTGTCTACAGTAGTACTCCAAACTGAAACAATCCAGGCAAGAAGCTATTTGGCCCACTGTAGAAGATACGTGGGCCCCACAGACCGTTTCTGTTTATCGTAACACCATGGGGTAGGAGGACATTAAAACTCCTACGTGCTCCCGTGGTCCTCACCAGAGTGGAAATGATGCACATAAGGAACACAGAAGAACATGATAACTTTGGTAGAGTTTGGGTCCAGGGTTCCCTGCATCTCATACCCTGTGAATGGACCCTCTGGACTCCTGCTTTATTTTGCTGCCACACAGGGCTTTTTTGTAGAAAAAGCCCAGCAGGAACTCATTAGCATAATAGGCCACACCCAATTGAAAAAACAAACCATTTGCATATTAGGCCACACCCCTGACAGCACAGCTCATTAGCATATTAGGCCACACAGCCCTCATTACCAGAAGTGAGGTCATCCAGCCACACCCACCTTTTGCTTCTTATTCTGTTTACCTTGTTTGTTGTCAAAACCCAAGGATTTTTTTTGTAGCAGGAACGTCTTTGCATGTTAGGCCACACACCCCTAATGTAGCCAATCCTAATGAGTTTCTGCCATTGGGTGTGGCCTATTATGCTAATGAGTTCCTGCTGGGCGTGGCCAACTCGGGAGCCAGCCGGAACTCCGTTTCTGTGCGTTCCTGCCCAAAAATAGCCCTGCAGTGCCACAGACTAGCATGGCATTACCCTGTGCCTCAGTGCACGTAGGGCCTTTACACAAAATACTCACATAAAACAGATCTCAGTTACACTGCTGCTATTCAACTCTCTGAATTTTCTTTCTCCTTACGATTCATTTCTTCTTGTGAAACTTAGTTCATTTGCCTTTATTTTTCCCCCCTTACAGCATGGAGTCCCCAGCATTTGCTTTCATTAGCAGAATCTACTCTGGTCCAAAGTTCTGTAAGTTAATTTTTTAAAAAAAAAATTTATGAAAGCTCTATTCACCTCCCTCATTTTGAAGGACATCCTGTGTTTGACCTTCCAGTGCTGGCAAATGAGCTGAAAGGCAGGAGCAGTGGAGCAAGAAATGCTTTGTAAAGCAGGAGAAAACGCTCAGAACTAAATACTCATTGTGAAATATCCTTCAAAATGACGGAGCACTTAAGAGGAATGGATAAGTTGGACTGTCCATCTTGGGCTCTTTTGGAGGCCTCTTGTCTGGTGCCCCTCTTTACTGGAATGCATTGCTTATGCTGGAGTGGATCCCATTCCTCCTGCAATTTCTACACATAAAAAGCAATGGTGTATAATGGCATGACAGTATCAATTTGATCCATTTTCACATTCTAAATTAACATTATGGGCCAATCCAGATCTTGAAACTGGGAAGAATTCTCTCTTTCTTTTTTGTGGAAGGGTTGGACCGATAAGGAGATTTTTACATTGGATCAGTTGATCAATTATGAGGATGAGCTTTTGCCATTTCCTCTGCTGTGGTCTAGATATGATTTGTCACCTTCTGGATAAATAAAACAAAACGTAAAATAAAACAATCACAACTGTTCTCTTTTTTATTTTGTTTGTTTGTTTGCAGGTTCATCAGACTCCGGCAATATGGCCACCTCAACTGTGACATCCCTAGCAAGAGAAGCTTCGACAGACAGAACGAGCCACAGTGGACTTTCTGAAAGTCAGAGTGGTGGTATGGGAGGACTCTCTGGTGGCGCCTTCTCTGGAAGCCACAGCAATGCGAGTGGAGGAGCCCCACAAGCTTTAAGATATCACAGCAGTACAAGCAGAGGTACTTTGGAGAGTGGTCTCTCTAGAAGTCCTAGCAGCAGAAGTGGAAACTTTGCCGATGTCGAAAACAGCACAGAAAGCAGCATATCTAGAAGCCACGAGAGTGGACCTTTTTCACAGCCTGATGCTCATAGGAGCAGGGATCATCTAGAAGGTGGGCTGTCTAGGAGTGCCAGCAGAGGCACCTCGGAAGGTAGCCTTTCTAGGAGCCAAAGCAACAGAAGTGGTGGCATAACTGATAGTGTATTTACTAGAACCCCCAGTGGTGCAAGTGAAGGTGTCCCAGAAGGCAGCCTTTCTAGAAGCCACAGTAGTATGGGCACATCCTTTGTAGAAGGGGGCCTTTCTGGAAGCCACAGTAGTACGAGTGCATCCTTTGTAGTAGGGGGCCTTTCTGGAAGCCACAGTAGTACGAGTCCGTCCTTCGTAGAAGGGGGCCTTTCTAGAAGCCACAGTGGTATGAGCGCATCCTTCGTAGAAGGGGGCCTTTCCAGAAGTCACAGTGGTATGAGCGCATCCTTTGTAGAAGGGGGCCTTTCCAGAAGCCAGAGTGGTGAGAGTGAAGAACGTGCTAGGCCTACGCTTCTGAGAACCAACTCAGCTGAAGATGGTGGTGTCCCAGTGGGTGGTATTCTTAGAAGGCCTAGCAGGGAAAGCTCAGAGGCCAGGCTTTCCAGAAGCCAGAGTGACAAAAATGAAAGCCTCAGCAGCCACGAAAGTGAAGGGTATGCTGAGCCTGCTGTTTCCAGAACTAATTCTGCTGAAGATGGTGGAGTCCCAGTGGGTGGCATTCCTAGAGGTCATAGTGAGACAAGCAGGTACAGGTCAGAGGGCAACTTTTCTAGAAGCCAGAGCGATGGGGTTAGATCCTGCAGCAGCCGCAGAAGGGAAGGATGCGTCGAGCCCACCATTTCTAGAACCAGTAGTGCTGAAGATGGCGGGGTACCAGTGGGTTGCATTCCTAGAAGTCAAAGTGAGGTAAGCAGGTACAGCCCTGAGAGTAGCCTCCCTAGATTACACCGTGGTGAAAATGAAGCCCGCAGTAACCATAGAAGGGAAACCTATGCCGAGCCTACTGTTTACAGAACTGGCAGTGCTGGTGATGACGGTGGCCTTTCTCGAGGCCATAGTGGGTCTAGGAGAACCGTCTCAGCAGGCAGCCTAAGAGGTCAAAGCGGAGGCACTGTGGACACTGCCCTTCCTAGAGCTCATAGTGAAGGTACACAAGACGGCAACCTTTCTAGCCGTGATAATAACGCTACTACTGTAGAAGGTGGTGTTTCTAGAAGTCAGAATGATGGAGCTAGAAGCATCTCTGTGGGCAGTGGTTTTAGAACTCCAAGCATCACAAGTACAGCCTTGACAGACAGTGTCTTTACTGCAACTCCTTGCACTGCAGATGGAAATGTTCATGAGGAAATGCTTTCGAGAGTTCCCAGTGGGGCAACAGAAAATGTCCCCGAGGCTGGTCTTTCCACAAGTCAGAGTGGTGATAGCGAAGGTCCTATAGAGACATCCACTCCAATCTGCTTCAGCAGCCGACATGACGATGCCATGGAATGCAGCCTTTCTAGAAGCCACAGTGGAGAAGGCAGGAGCTTCGGAACAGCTGACTCTTACAGAAGCCCTAGTGAGGCAAGCAGAGATGTTTCAGAGGGTAGATTTTCCAGAAATTATAGCTACCTGACTGCGGTTTCACATCCTCCTGATGTGTCTAGTACCCAGAGCAGTGAGGCTGAAAGCCCCAGTGGTGGGATAGAAGCCCCAGTCAGTAGCCCTGGAGATGCAAGTGAACCCGTTCCACATAGCGGCCTGGGTGAAAGCTACAGCCATGAGGAAGGCCTGTCCAGAACCCCAACTGGTGAGTCAGTAAGTCCAGGTTCCACCTACTTGGTTGACGAGGTCCACTCTGATAATCTTCACTACTCTCCAGCCGTGGAATTCAGCTCCAAGGAGTAGGCATCCCACAAGTGCAGGAGTAAGATCCAGATACTTTCTCCTCGAAGTCCCATGCCATCTATTGGACCACAGATGGGGTTCCACATTAAGCCTTCCATTACCGAGGTTAGCAGTTGGAAAATGGACTCTGCTGTCTTAAGTGGACATTGTGAAAACAAGATCAATAGCATAATGCATACACTGTAGGGAGGGAGAAGCAATATACAACATGCAGCTATAATCCAGGCATCCACCTCAGGGAACCATGAATAAGCAGTATAGTCTTTTGACCAGTATTATAAGCATGCATTTTCCCCTTCTCCTTCCTTTTTTCCTTCTATTTATGTTTAGATTCTTCAAACTTTTTAATAATTCAGTGCTTTTCAGCAAGCAAATCACACGATGTGGTACAAGGGGTTTTATTAGTGAAATGTAGTTAGCGGGGACATTTCACTGCTGATCTTCTGGCTGCTTTTAAGTACCCCATTTTGAGTTTATCTGCTGAATTCTTAGAACATTTTTCCCTCCCACTTCCACAGAGGTCTCTGGAAAACTTTTACAGATAGCAGGAAGGTAGCCCTGTTGGTCTGAAGCAACAGAACAAAGTTTGGCGCCTTTAAGACCAACAAAGTTTAATTCTGGGTATAAGCTTTTGTGTGCATGCACATGAAGAAGTGTGCATATGAAGGAGTATCTGAAGAAGTGTGCAAGCACATGACAGCTTATACCCAGAATTAAACTTTGTTGGTTAGGAAGGTCCCAGTTTTACTAAGTGCATAATACACCCATGCTTAAAAAACAAAAAAACTATAGGGCCAGTATCAAATAATGGCTTCAGGTGCATCCAAGGCATATGTCCCAAGAGGTCATGTCATCTGACTGTCAGGGGCAGACTGCCAGACTCAGGCTGTGGTCACACACAATAAACAATCCACTTTGAATCCACTTATAGTGCTCTTTCCAACTGAATTTTACTGTGTGAACGGACAGAATTCAGGTGGAAAGGGCACTGAACGTGGATTATTTAGTGTGTGTGGCCGCAGCCTTACAGGGCCACCCCAAGCAGAGCTGCTGCCTTTTAAGCCCATGGCTGGCCGTCTTCTGCTTGTGTGTGTGTCTGAAGTGTCGTCAGGTCACAGCTGACTTTCAAGGCAAGTGATTAAGCAGAGGTGGTTTGTCCTTGCCTTCCTCTGCAGAGTCTGCCTTGATGGTCTCCTGACCCTGCCTAGCTTCCAACATCTGATGAGATCAGGCTATACTGTGCTGCCTTCCCTCCCAATCCTCTGCTTAGGGTTGCACTTATTAGAGCTGGGTTTTCCCCACAAAGATAAGTTGCTGGAGCTAAGGGCTTGCACCAGGACAAGGGCTGGGACTAAGCCTGGCCTAAAGTGCAGCCCACAGAAGATATCGCTCTGTTGACCAAGGCAAGGCAAGAAGGCTAGACTCCTGTATATTACACAAGGCCCAGAACATCTGCAGGTATCATCCTGCCTCCAGGTGGATGTTGTGCACCCTTATTCCCTACAATATCAGAAGAGGGCATCTGAGCTTGGGGCAGCTCACCAGGCTAAACCCCAGCTAGCATCCGTGACGTTTACGATGCAGGCACTGAAATCCCTGACAATAAGTCTCTTATGGATACACCAGCACTGGAAAGCAGCCTCATAGCCATAGCAGTACGGAATCTGTGTGCAAATAACCCATCTGGATGTATTCAGAGAGCTCCATTGTACATGCCCCCACAAATGGATTTCAGCATAGCAAGGGCATGTCTGAAGCCAACCTCTGTTAATTTCAGCGTATCTTCACATTCAACTGCCTACCCAAATGCAGCAAGTTCATCCTAGAATGTGCATCAGAAGGCAGTGCAATAGGTGTTTGATCGCTTTGCATTTCTGTACGGGCAGGTATAGATATAGGCAAGTGGTCTGGAATGAGCTGCTCTCTCTCAGCCCCTGCACTATTCCCATTAATGATGTGGGAATGTTAAGAACCTAATTCACAGGGTTGTTCTAAAGTTGAGGGTATTAAAATGCTTTGGATCCAAAGAGGAAGTCATTCCTGTACTTTTGAAGAACTACAGGTGAGGACTCTCCCCAAGGCCATGTCTGTCTATGCCTTAAAATTTGGATCATTTAACAAAAAGAGATAAACGGTTTAGAAATAATATTAGTTCCCTTAGAGGTGAAGTCGATGAAATTAGTTTTGAATGTTCCTCAAGGTTACGGTTCCAAGAGCTGGGTATCTCTGAATATACATGCATTGCGAATTAGCATTGTGTCCCAGTATGTGTTAACGTCTGCTGTATAATATATATGTTGCTGTACATATACATAAACGTGTATATGTATCAAAGACCTAGAAGATGGTGAGACCAAAGAGGGTTGAGATTTTTTAAAAACAACAACAACACAGACATGGTTTAGATAGGGGCAGGAGGGAAAATATGTAGAAAAGCGATTACTGGCTTCAAAGAGATCATTAGAAGACACCATCAGGAAACCAGAATATCAAGAAAACAGACAACAATGCGGACAATTACAAGAGAACAAAGGAGAGAAGATTACTCTGGAATGTGAAATAATTGCAACTGAGATCTTCTTCAAAGGAAAAAAAAATAAGTTGGGGAAAAGTCTGAAGTTCCTTTCCTAACAAATTAAGGAAGAGATGAATATTAAGCTAGATCTGTCTTTTTTATGCTGGGGATTTCACCACTAGATTGCATATGAAAGGCAAGAGTTACAGTAAATAAGACAAGCACCCACTGTGAGGTTAGTTGTTATTTTCTCTTAGGATATTTATTGGTATTTGCTAAGATAATATGTATTGCCTAAATATTTGTGTAACTTATTTTGGTACTTCTAAGTTAATACTTAGTTCCTTCTGATTAAAACATATCCCACATAGTAGCAGTTCTATATACTGGGGTGAAAATACTTTTGCCATAAGCTTGCATTCATGTAACCTTGTCGGCATTGTAAGGAGAGATGTTTAACATATTTTGTGGCTGTTTGAAAATCCTAGAATGGGCCCACTGTTGATACATGCAATATGTCTTTTCTGCTGTAAGGCATGGAACAGGTTCTTAAAAGACAGCAGGCCTCTCAATCTTGACAATTTTGGGGAAAGCACATTGGATAAACCTATGATTTGGTCTGTTTGTGTATATTTTGGGGTCCCTCGGATGACTGTGGCCCCACCCCCAGCGTGCCTGGCGTGGTCACGTCACTTCCGGGTGACGTGCACGTCGGGGTGGAGTTCCCCCCGGGGCCCGATCCGCCGGCGGCGGGGAACGGGCCTCTGGGGCGGGGGACTTGCATGTGGCTAAAATGGTAGTGCCATAAGAAACCTTCCCCAATGGGGTTGCATGGCACATTTAATGGCAAGGTCTTCTTTGTATATTCCCACTGAATTGTACTGAACTAGGTTTACTCTTTCCTCTTTAGGCTGTATTAATAAAGTATTGAGGTATATAATGAGAAAAAAATAACTACAGGTGTGCCATTCATTCCTCTGAAAATACCAGCCAAACACTCTCTTTTTTGTTAAAGCATCAGTTTTGATTCTAGGCATGATACCATAGAGGTTTAAACCATTTCTTTTGACACAAAGCAAGTAAGCTTTAACTGCAGCAAATGCTGTGTTATCCTACACTTTGTTATCCAGACAACTCTGTTAACTTACACCTGGATGGAAGGCACTTAACCTTCACTATGGGGAGGACGGAGGAAGACCGGCTATTGCTCACAGCTGCTAATTCACTGTCTTGCTCAGCACTGAAGCTGCCAGCAAGGGCTAGTGATGAGCCAGACCTTTAAGAGGCATGGCTGCTTGTGCCCAGGGCAACTGCAAATCCAGTACCAGCAGAGCACAGCAGGACTGGCTGGGAAGCAGCCAAGGCAGCCCAAAACAAGCTGCGAGCACACCCACCCACAGTGTTTGCACTGTGAAGGAGAGGAAGGCCCACTGCTCACTGGTGCCAGTCAGCCTCCTCCCTCTCTTAGCAAAGGTTAGCAAGGAGGTAGGCCTTTCGCAGGTACTGTAACTTGCAGTGAGGGTGGCTGCAAACATGGATCAATTTCCCACTAGCCGCTGCTCCGTCCTCACTCTTCCTTTCCCCCCAATTCTATGTGTCAATTTCCCACCAGTTGCTGCGCGGCTGCATTTTGCCCCGCAGCTTCACCCGATTGTCCCTGCGTCTTCTCGATCCTCAAAAAACAGGACCGAGAAGACGCGGGGAAAATCGGGTGAAGCTGTGGGGCAAAATGCGGCTGCACAGCAACTGGTGGGAAATTGACACGTAGAATTGGGGGGAAAGGAAGAGCAAGGACGGAGAAGCGGCTAGTGGGAAATCGGTCACTGAACATGGCAGGACCGGTAAGGCAGCAGCCCAGTCAGCCCAAGACAAGCTGCACATGTGAGACAAGATAATCCAACAATCATCCAATATCTTCGGCCTAAGGGGGAAGGAGAGGAGGAGGACCCCTGATGCTTTCCAACCCTCTCTCCTGTCTGGGCAGCTTCATGTAATATGGCTAGCAATACACAATAGGGTTGCCAGGTCTGCGTTGGAAAATACCTGGAGACTTCGAGGGCAGATCCAGGAGTGGGCAGGGTTTGGGGAGGGGAGGGGCCTCAGCATGACACAATGCCATGGAGTCCACCCTTCACAGCAGCCCTTTTCTCCAGGGGAGCTGATCTCTGTCAGCTGGAGATCACTTGTAAAAGAGGGAGATCCCCAGGCCCCACCTGGAGGCTGGCAACCCTAATACACAATCAACAAGCAAAGGATAGGAAAGAGAAATGCAGAAAAACTCTATTAACCAGCATGTTTGAGTAACTGTCAATTCCCAATCCCCATGAGTGCTGGATAATAAAATCTTGTACTATTCCCGTACTCTTATGTTCTTTTCTTAAGGAATTTCAGCACTGGCTACTGGAGCAAAACCTAATTTATAGAATTGCCACATGTAACTGTATTTTCCAGTATTTAAGAAGGATAGAAAAAGCTGAATAGATGCACGTATAGGACAATGCACAGTGTTTTTACATAAGGCTGCAAAATTTCAATACATTCAGATGCCCAGACTCACAACAATCACCTTTCTGGCTACACAAGCTATGCAAGTAAGTAGCCACCTTGATTTGAAGGGCTGTCACTTAGAGGAGGGCAGGGAACTGTTCCTGTTGGCAGCAGAGAAGAGGACTCACAATAATGGGTTTACATTAAAGGTGGGAAGGTACTGGCTGGATATCAGGAAAAACCTTTTTACAGTCAGTGTTGTGCAACAGTGAAATCAGCTGCCTAGGGAGGTGGTGAGCTCCCCCTCCCTGGCAGTCTTTAAGTAGTGGCTGAGGGAGATGGTCTCATGGATTTAGATGGAGCAAGATATCTGGGCTCCAGGCAGGGATGCCATCTCCAAGTTCAGAAATATCTGGACATTTGGGGGTGGAGCCTCTCTATGCGCCCTTCTAGCTCTGTGATTCTGTGATTCTCAATAGCTGACATCACCATGGGATCCCATTTCCAAGTTGACTCCCTCACATCTTCCCATGTACGTGAATAGATGCTGTTCACTATGGAGAAATAAAGGGTTGCATTTTTGA